TCATGTTGGCATTTTGTCCACCGCTCGGTTCTTACAGCATTCTTCGAACCACGTCAGCCAGTCATTTTTCACAAATTTAACCTAAAAAAACACAAATGCACCCGTATTAATAATAATTCTAGCATTTGTAAATTTGACCTCAATTACTTTAAATGTTCCTATAGATACAAGAAGCCCTGCAAATATATCAATTGGTACCAAATAAGGAATGCAACATCATCATGTACATTCCAATATCATCAATTGGTAACAAAATAGATTAGGCTTGGCAAAAATGAGCCAACCCGTCGGGTTGGCTCGTAACCTGGCTAAAATGAGACGGGTTGGGTTAGAAAAAATGAGTTAGTAAATCGAGTCATCCTGACTCGTTTCAGCTCAAAAAAAATCGAGCCAACCCACGAGTCAAACAGGTTGGCTCGCGGGTTATGATTTTTTTTATTTTATAAAATCCCAATTCCAAAGACCCAAACGAAAAATACCCTGCAGTTGCCAAGAAGTTCAAAATCGTGCATTAAGGACCTTTTTTATAGTATGTGTGACAGTGTGAATGTGGTGCCAACTGCCAATAAGTTCAAGTCCAAATGCAAAATTTTCTATTGTTTATTTGTATAATGTCTTTGTATTGAATGAATTAATAATTTAGGAAAAAAATTTAGAAGTTATAGCAGCAATGAAACTTTATTTTTTTCCATTCTTTCAAGCCAACCCACGAGGCAACCCTAACCCGACTCGGCTCAGGTTGGGTTGAGTTTTCTGGTTCGTTTATTTTTCAAGTCAACCCTAACCCGGCTCGTTTTTTTTGGGTTGAACGCGGGTTGGGTCGGGTTGGCCCGTTTTGCCAACCCTAAAATAGATATAAGAAGCCCAACAAGCAAAATGGTTCAATCAAACATATGCATAGCGTACAAGGAGTGCAATTTCATCAAACACCTAGCATGCAATATTATCAAGAAATGTAAAAAAAAAATGAAATGAAAGGAGCTAGGTCGAAATGGTTGTGGAAGTATAAAATATGGTTGTAACAAAATGGAAAAATGTGAGAATCTACGCGAGCGAGAGGAGCTTGGGATACCTGAGACGATGCAACGACAATAGAGGAAGAAAATACAGATGGAGATGACGGCGGTGGAAGAAAAAGCAGACAAAGATGATAGTGGTGGAAGTCAATGACGAAGAATATGTGAGAAAGAAAGAGAACTATATGGTTGAAGATCGATTGCAATCAATGACAGTGGTTTGGGTGATTCCCCGTTCAAGGTTTATCCCTTATTCGCGTGACACCCTGGTATGTGATGTGTGAGGGAAAGAATGTGAGACATAGGGTTTTAAAAAAAACCCAGCAGCAATGCATACTCGGGTATCCCCCCGATACTCGAGTACATAATTCAAGAAATGCCCAAAAAGAAGAATAATGCCCGGGTAGTCACCAGTGTGCTCAAGTATATATATATTTTTTTGCAGAATACTCGAGTATTAGGCCATATACTCGAGTATATAACTAAGTCAACGGTCAAACAAGGGAAAATGAATTATATGTTTTGATATGAGGGCAAAATGGTAATTTTTTGAATAAGGGGCATAATGGTCAAAAAGCCTTCTAAACTAGATTGAATGATGATAACTTGACCTCCTTATTTTGTTCCCTCTTGTGCTTTTTCTTCAAAGGCATTGATAGAGGCGATAAATAAGAGGGAGGTGATCTACTTATAAAGCACTCTCAAGAGGAATAATGTATCTACTTAGTGAAGTTTTTGCTCTTTATATAATGTTTAGATCGCTTAGTACCCAAATTGTTTATTAAAGGACTAAATCCATCTATATGATTTTCTATATAAACCTTGACAAATAAGGATAAAATCTAGTAGCTTTTGTTACACATACCCGTTTGGATGAGCTTTTTTTAGCCAAAAGTAATTTTTTTTTCATAAAAAAGAAGCACTTCTACTAAAAATTATGTTTGGATGTATGCTTTAAAAAAAAGGAGAAGTCACAAAAAAAGTCAAAAACCTATTTTTTTTAAAGCTAAAAATTTTAGCTTTTAAAAAAAGCAGAAGTCAAAAGTTAAATATTTTTTAAAAAAACTAAATATTTTTTCTAAAACCTAAACAACTTTAACTTTTATAAAAAAACACTTCTAAAATAAAGAAAGCATAAAAGCAACTTTTTTAAGAAGGCAGTCCAAACACCTGATTGACAATTTTTTTTTCATAAATTAAAAGTTATTTTAAGCTAAAGTTAAAAGAGAGAGCTGAAAAAGTAAAGCTAAAAGCTCTTTGATGATTATGTAAAATTGTTCAAAGAATTTTGAAGGAGGGAAGATGAAATAATTCTTTATTAGGATAATGTCACAAATCCCACATTAGTTGTATAGACAACTAATGTGAGGTTTATAAGGCATTGGATACTATCATCATTTGAGCTAGCTTTTGGAGTGATGATCGCAAGATCCGTAAGGGTAAATAGCTAAATTGCTATTTAGAATAAGAGTAAAACTAAAAAATAATTATGAGAACTCTAAAAGCTAGTATATATCTTAAAAAATCCATATTGAGAGCTTTTAGCTTTTGCTTTTTTATTATAAAAAAGCTCTTTTTATAATAAATACTTTTTATTAAATTATATTTGACTAAATTTCTACTTATAAAAAGAAGAGAAACTAAAAATAAAAACTCTCAAACTCGCACTTAGCTCCCCTAACATGATTATGCAAGAAATTTGAAATAAGAAAATTCCTCCCAAACTGGCACTGTTTGTTTGTTTGTTTTTTGTGTTTTTTTAAGATTAAATTCTCGCACAGCTAAGATTGCTTCTGGACCCAAGTTTCTCACTTGATCCTGGACCTAAATTCCAGTTCAGAAGAGTTCCACTGAGTATGAAAAAAATTGAAGTTGATCCTGAAAAATTAGTAGAAGAAATTTAATTTGGTGATTTTTTACCGCAACGAGCCGCCAATTTACATTGATCCACCGTTTAAATATTTAATCATGGGACAAAATTCTTTGACACCGGTGTCAAATTTTTGACACTAAATTCTATCCTTTAATTTTCGTTAATCAACCGTTATCATTTATTGAGAATTAATATTAATTAATAAATTTAATTTCCAATAAATGATAATCGTTGATTGACAGAAAAATTAAGAGATACAAACTTCAAAATTTGACACCAGTGTAAAAGATCTTATCTCTTCAAATATATCTCATTTTCATTTACAAATAATTAATGAAGATTTTAAGGACTGAAATCAACTGTCTTTTGGGTTGGTGAAAATAAATTACACCTATCTGTAATTAATGATCATGCAACTTCGCTTTTACTTCACTCAAATTCTTAATCACATTTTCTGTTATCGTCCCCTGTGCTGCATTTTTTTACCTGCACCCCTGTATGCTGTATAGTAGCTTTATTGTGTCAACACTAATTATAAGTAATTGATATTATATATTTCTCATGTCATTATGTATTTAACTGTTTATCGTTTTAGAATATACATAATTTTTAATTTTCTTTTAGACAGTTACTGTTAATTATATATTTCATTCATCGTGAAATAATTATATTTTGAGTGTATTTATTGTTCTTAATTTGTCAGTTGAATTGAGTTTTATTAAATCTATTTAATTCAAAGTTGATGAACAATAGAAAATCAATGGTAGAAAGCCAGCATCAAATACTTAGCCATGATAGTGGTGAATGGTGATGAACTTGAGAATTTTTTTTTTGAAGAGATGCATATTAAAGACGAAAATGGTGATTTTAATTCCTTTATACAACCATTAAAGAGTAAAATTTAAAGGAACAGCCGTTATGTTTACCACAAAAAAAGAGAGTAAATACTCTTTTTGGTCCTCAGCAAATTTCATGATGTCCGCTTTAGTCCCTAGCAAATAAAAAGGCTCATCGTGGTCCCTAAAGAATTTAAAATGGACTCATTTTAGTCCTTTTAGGGACTAATACGAGTCTTTTTTGAATTTGTGAGGGACTACGATTTCAACTAAATAGATCCATTTTGAATTTCTTAGGCACTACGACGGGCCTTTTTATTTGCCAGGGACTAAAACGGACATCGTAAAATTTACTGAAGACCAAAAAAGGTATTTACTCAAAAAAAAAACAGCCGTTACAATAAAAAATGATTTTCAGTTTTCATTTAAAAAAATGTTTGTCATTTTAAATAACATAAAGTTTGTTAGGAGAGAGATAGACACAAATTTTTTATTATTTAAAATTTAAATTAAAAAAAACGATCCACTTTCTCTCTCCTATGATTTCTATTTTTTGTGTCTATCTCTCTCCTAAAATGACATAACTTATGTCATTTAAAATGATAAACACCAAACTCTTTCACATATTATCGAAAAGGGATTATGGTCTTAAAAATGACAGAGACATGAGTTTTATGTAAAAAACACTGCTCATATATTTTTTTTTTTAAGAAAATAATTACCCCTCAAAATATTATTCTAATTTTTTTATATATATTAAACTAGAGTTCACCTTCTTAAGAATATTAAATCTTATAATATATTTTCTCTTCAAAATGATATTTCTCATTCTTAAAATACGTTTGGATAACTAACAAAGCGCGATACAGTCGGTAGATAATTGAATCTTTTAAACATGCTGAGATGAGTTTAGTACTTGGCTTTCTACTGATAGATACTATTGGAACAATTTCAAATTACTTTGGGATAAACACCTAATATTTCATTTTAGTAAGATAAGGGCCAAAGCCCAAGGAAAAAAATTATATTTTAACAGTTAGGACTTCTTTTTGGATTCCATGTTCTCTTATTTTAACAGTTAGAAAGAAAGAAAAATATTTCATTAAAATTATACTTTAAAACTTTCTATGTCAAAATTTATAATTGAATGAAATGTTGAATATTCTTATTAAAAATTGTTTACGTATAAAATTAATTTTCTATACTCAACCCAAAAAATTAAAATAAAAATAAAATCGTACATTTTGTGGTTTGAAGCATAGGCCCAAAGGCAAACCAGGCCGAACCGAATAAGGTCGTAAACTCGTAGCACCCAGCCACCACCACGTTGACTATCTGCGGTACCTCCGACACAGACACATGTTAACGCCACCGTGCGCAGCCCAAGCTCCACCGACCTAGGGCGAGGATGTTCTATGCAACGTTGGAACAATCCACGTCACCATGTCAAGGTTCATGTTTTGGCTTTCAATAAGACCCTGTTTCTGAATTTAAACCCCATATATTTCATTCACTGTATAATTCATAATAATCTCAGTAATGTCACTCATTCAACTTTTTTAAATCATTCAGAAATGTAAAAAGTACTAATTTTAATACTAATTGGCATATGGTTCTTGTTTGTTGTTTCTGTTTTTTTTTTTTTTTTTAAATAAAAAATTTGTGGTTCTTCACTCCAAATAGTAATACCCCTAACTTCAATGTGGATTTATCTTTGTTTCAGTAGTGTTGTAAGGCCCTAAATAAAGTGGTTCCGGAGCTACATAAAAACTTTGCTATAGAAAGTTCCATTTTTTGTGGAAACTAATTTACATTGAAAGCTTAAGCCCCATCTTTTTTTTTTTTTTTTTTTTTTTTTAATTTCTGGATTATTTATATTTATTTATTATTATTATTTGTATGACTGGCTTTATGCTGTTTTGATCAATTTGAATTTGTGATTGTGCAGTTTTCTGCTGATATATGATTCTAGTTTTTCTATATCTTAGCTTTATTTGGGTTTGAGAATGTGTAGAATATTTGTATAATCTAATGTGCAGGCTTTTTGCTTGTGGAAATGTTAGAAGGGTTGCAAGTTCTGTTCACCTGAAACACAAGACTGGGTGCTTGGAGGAAGTAGTTTATCCAATGGGGTTTCCTTACTCCACATACAAATTTTTCTCATACTATAGACTTGTACACAAAGGACAAACTCCATTTATGCTATTTAAATCAAAGGTTAACTTGTTGATTAATAACAGAGTGAGGAACTGGTATACCCTTCCTGCAAATAATGCAAAATACCAGCATGGACAAGTTTTTTGGAACAGGATGTGTTTCCATAAAGGGCCAGCTCTACAGCCAATAGTTCAAATTGCCCGTGCAGTAAGTTTGGCTATATTCAAATCAAATTTTGTTGCTCATGGTGTGGTTGCCTTCATAGTAGGAGAGCTTGCTTGGACACAAGAGACATGGGCAAGAGCAGAATCCATCCCAACAAGGGATTCACTGTGTTTTAGTGCACAAGATGGACGTGTGTATTTAACCTCAGCTCTTTTGGAAGCACTTGAGATTCTTTTCTTGTTTCTCAGGGCTATCTATTTAGTAATTTTGTTCTCTCCTTGCATAGCTATGGCTCCTTTAGTTGACTTCTTTGGCACTCAATTTAGAAAAACATGGATTCATGTTGTACGCCTTACTCTTGAAAAAGCTGGCCCGGCATTCATTAAATGGGGTCAATGGGCTGCGACTAGACCGGATCTCTTTCCTAGAGATCTCTGTGGTGAACTTGCAGAATTTTACACCCAGGCACCATCACATAAATTTACGTATAGCAGAAAATGTATTGAAAAAGCATTTGGTCGCAAGTTGAATGAAATATTTGAAACTTTTGATGAGGAACCAATAGCTTCAGGTAGCATCGCTCAAGTTCATCGAGCTACACTAAAATATAAATACCCTGGTCAGCAAATCAAGCCTGTGGTTGTAGCAGTGAAGGTAAGACATCCAGGGGTTACTGAAGCAATTAGAAGGGATTTTGTCATTATTAATCTTGTAGCCAAGATTTCATGTTTCTTCCCTAATTTGAAGTGGTTGAGATTAGATGAAAGCATACAGCAATTTTCTGTTTTCATGATGTCTCAAGTTGATCTTTCAAGGGAAGCAGCACATCTTAGTCGCTTTATCTATAATTTCCGGAGATGGAAAGATGTTTCCTTTCCGATCCCGCTGTATCCCCTTGTGCATCCATCTGTTTTGGTGGAAACCTATGAACAAGGTGAAAATGTTTTGCACTTTGTTGATGAGCTTCAAGGACATGAGCATATCAAAAGTTCCCTCGCTCATATTGGAACACATGCTCTTTTAAAGATGCTTTTGGTAAAATATTCTGAATTCTCTTGCTATTTATTTTGTTTTCCCTTCCTCAGTAACTTGGTTGTGGATTTTGCGTTTCTCAGATTCTGTTGAGTGTTATCTAGTTCATGAAAATATGATATTGTACCCAATATTTAATCCGGTTGATTTAGATTGCATTACATATTTGGTGTTTGTCATTTTAAATGACATAAGTTATGTCATTTTAGGAGAGAGATAGACACAGAAAAGTGGAAATTATGGGAGAGAGAGAGTGAGTAGTTTTTTTTAATTTTAAAATTTAAATAAAAAAAGATTTCTGTGTCTATCTCTCTCTTAAAATGACATAACTTTATGTCATTTAAAATGACAAACACTTTTCCCATATATATATGTATATATATTGAGAGAGAGAGAGAGAGAGAGAGAGAGAGAGAGAGAGGATCTTTTGACTTTCGTGTAAGATTAACAAATCTTACTCCCCATCTCAACTATTGATTTATGTCCATCTTACGGCTGTAATTTATTGAGTTATATTTATTAATTAATTATTAATTCCAAATAAACTATAATCGTCAAATGGGTGGAAAATTGACGGTTGAGATGGGAAGTAAGACTTGTTAATCTTACATATAAATGAGAGAAGTTCAAGGCTTTATTACTTCACAAACTGTTTAATCTCTCAGTAACATCCAAAAACTGGTTACAAATTACAACCTTTTATATTATGTATGGTTCTCAGCATAATACTATGTCTATTAACAAAATTAAATAAATACAAAATAAAGAAGGGGAATTAGCAGGAGAAGTAGAAAGAAGAAAGAAAGAAATAAAGAAAGATTGGAAAACAAACCTATTATTGAACAAAACTCTTGTTAACATTCTGAAATTCCTAATTGTAATATGCATTCCTTTGCGGATTTTAGGACAAGAGGAAGAATTAGTAAGAGAGGAAATGATGAATTCTTCGAGGATTTTGTGAAAATATTCATAATCTTCAATGAATGTTTTGTTAATATTTTTTTTATCTTAAATGCATGTGATAAAGCATCACAGAGACCCACAATGTTTCTCCTTTTCTCGTGTAGTAAAATGTTATTACTAATTTGTTATCTTATAGATAATTAGACAAAAGGGGAGCCTTGGCACAACGATTAGTGTTGTTGCCATGTGACCTGTAAGTCACTGGTTCAGTTCATGTAATCAGCCTCTTATAAATACAAGATAAGGTTGTTTACTATAGATCCATATGGGTCTGCTCTTTCCCTGAATCCTGCACATAGCAGGAATTTCATAGCATCAAGTTGCCCTTTTTATGGATAATTAGACATTTGAGTGAAATAATTAATTGCCTTAACTTAGATATGTCTCTTCTTCCAGGTGGATAATTTTATCCATGCAGACATGCACCCTGGAAATATTCTTGTCCGTGTAGCAAAACGCAAATCATCACCTAAGTGGCTCTTTAAGTCAAGGCCTCATGTCATTTTCCTCGATGTAGGCATGACTACTGAACTTTCTAAGAGGGAACGAGAAAATTTACTGGAATTCTTTAAGGCTGTTGCACTTCTAAATGGCCGCTCTGCAGCAGAGTGCGCACTTATGTTATCTACACAACAAAATTGCTCAGACCCAAAATCTTTCATTGAGGTAAATAATTACTGTTTTGTGTTTTCCATGTACGGTTTGTATTAATATCCTGATAACTTACTAACACATAACCTGCTTAATATTATTTTGAATTTACATTTGTGACAAATTTTATCCTTCACATTCAGTCCTATATCTGAAACACATCCATTCATTTGACCTCTGATCACCAGTTGTGGGTTGAAGATCCTTAATTGATTGATGCTATGAAGTTTTAGACATTCTCAAGTTCTATATTTAAATAGGCTCTAGAGTTTTCAAAATTATCAGAAAACTTAAGAAAAACCCTTGTTTAATGGTCAAACCTGTTTTTTGTGGGAATTGCATACCACTTTTGACTTCAAAACAAAAATTCATGTTAAATGGATGCTCCTAGTTTGTGCTGCAAGTGTGAGTCTAAACATTCATACACATTATATTATGACTTCAACGTTTGTACACATATTATACTACTTTTGACTTGAAAACAAAAATTCACATTAACTGGATGCTCCTAGTTTGTGTCTGTAAAGAACCAATTCAACCTAAAATCTTAAGGTGTTGGGTAAAGGCCTTTTTAATGGTTTTATATTATTCTCTAACACACCCCCTCATGCAAGAGCCCTTTTGGGCTTGAAGCGTGGATATTGCTCAGGCCTAATTTTTTATTTACCTTGTGCTTATTTTTAATTTCACCTCAAAGTGGTTTTATATTATTCTCTATCAGTGTTAGCAAGTGTGAGTCTAAACACTTCTACATATATTATATTATGCATCATCTCGAGACCATATGATGAAAGATTATGATTTTTTTAATAGATTTTCTATTCTATTGCATCTCCATAACTGCTATACAGTTGACAAATGGTTTAGAGTTGTTTTTATTGACATATATCAATGTGTCATATACTTATTTCAGCATCAGCACATACCTTTGGTGAATAAATTTTTTTAGCATTTAACAGGAGGTGGATAAATCATTTAAATTTTGGAGGTCCTCAGAAGGTGAAACTGTCTCCACATCTGACCGAATGCAACAATTGCTTGAGCATGTTAGGCGCCATAAAGTCAATATAGATGGCAACATTTGCGCTGTAATAGTGACCACATTGGTGCTGGAGGTAATTTCTGCCTCAGGATCGCCCTTTTAAGCATTCTTCACACCCTTATAAATGAAATGAATGTTGACACAGTAATATTTAGCTTTTGTGCATTGCTATTGGTATATGGTTGAAAATTCATCTTGTTTTCTTGGCTGTGACACATTACTAATCTGGATATACTTTTCAATTTTTAAATAATTGATTATTTTAAAAATCTAAAAAATGTGGTGGAATATTTGTTTAGAAATGCACAACTTTTCATTACCACCTGAGGTGTAAACCATTATTGTGCCTCATGTCCATCTTCGCAATGTTTTTAGTAGAATTGGAGTGTTGATGGTCTTCTAAATAAACTTGAATATGGATCTTACTTTTTCACCTTGTTGGCATGACATGGTTAGAATGCTTTGTTGTTTCTTAGAATAATTTTTTGTATTAAAATACAACAGAGAACAAAAGCAGTAGTTGTTGGTTTTTAGTTTCAGGATGAATACAACAACAATAAAACCTTATTCCGCCAGGTCGGTTCAGCTACATGGATCAATTGATGCCATTGGTATATTAAAAATAAAGATTTCTATAAATCCATTTAGAGTACATTTAATCAGACTCAAACTATCCTCCATTCGATTTACTTTTTCCATTGGAGCTTCTATTGGTCTTCTCCTTGCCTGACCAAATCACCCTAGTTTCTGCATGTTCTCCATTTCAGAATGTATAAAGCATGAAGAATTAGGTGATAATAATTTCGTTTAATTTACGGTAATATGAATAATTAGGAGCTGCATTTAAAATGTAACAAGCAAATTGATGTACATGCTCTAGTTTATCTAGATTAGATTCTCAATGAAATGGTTACAATTTAAACTATGTAAGCAGGACTAGGCTTGAAAGTTTAGAGCCAAAACTGTTATTTTTGAATAAATTTCCAGTACTTCGGTAGTACTACTAAAGACTCAATATTACAAAATACCAAAAAAAATAAAATAAAGACTCAATATTACACACTAAAATTAAAAATCTTTTATTCAGTTAATTGCATTTATTCCACTTCTTTTTTTATTTTTGATTTCACGAGTCCGATTATTTCTAATTTTAGCAGTGGAGTATATAGTACTACAACAATTTTGAAAATTTATTTGTTATTTGTCATAGTTAAATAGGGCTAGCCTTGAAACAGCAGTGAGGTTGTTTCTTATGTATTACAGAATAATATAAATCATTAGAAAAGTCCTCACTGGTGAAAAATGATCAAACGATGGGTTAGACGCGTGACTTTACGCACGCGAAATTTTCTTGTCTGCAAGGGTTTTTTTTTTTCCTTCTGTTTTGCTGAATTGTTCCAATGGGAGAGGTGAGGGATTGTGCGAATGATTCTCTGATGATAATGAGAAAGAGTACAAAGAGATCGAAGAGTGGTGAAATTATTCCAACGGAGGTGGTGATGCGTGAAGCGATCAAGGAATTTCAGGCTGGGTCTTCCGTGCATGAGAAGCTGAGGTCCTTTGCAGAGGTGACGGGTGTTGAGAACGGTGTGTCAGGCGACAACGTTCCATGGCTGATTGAGGAGGACGAACCCGATCTGGAACCCCTAGACCCTAATTTGGGGGAGATTTCAGAATGGGGATTTCAGACCATTGTTCGCGAAGATGGTTCTGTTGAAATAAGGAGTAACATGGAAGCGAGAGCTAGAATGCGCCAGAGGTGGAAGAATGCTTTGATTGTGAAGCTATTGGGTAGGAAAATAGGTGTTGGGTTTATGAAGAAGAGGCTGGAGGTGATGTGGGCGAAGGCTGGCAGCATCACCGTTGCTGATCTGGGCAACGAGTTCTTCTCGGTACGGTTTAGCAGTCTGGAGGATATGAATCTTGCCATAACAGGTGGCCCGTGGGTTATCTTAGGGCATTATCTGGCCACAAGGAAGTGGGAACCATGTTTTGACCCTGATAAAGCTAATATTCATAAGGTTGCAGCATGGATCCGTCTCCCAGGTATCCCACAGGAGTATTGTGAATTTCCTTTTTTAAATCATTTAGGGTCGGTGCTTGGGAAAGTTATTAAAGTTGATCGAACTACTTCCACTGGAGACAGGGCCAGATTTGCCAGAGTTTGTATAGAAATTGACCTGTCTAAGCCATTGAGGGGTGAATATGTGCTGGATGGTTGTAGGAAAAGGGTGGAGTATGAAGGTCTCTTCTTAATTTGTCTTAGGTGTGGAAGGTATGGGCATATCTCTGACTCTTGCCCAGATTACGCCAAACCAACCCATGTGCATCAACCGGATGAGGCTCCTGTACAGCCAATGGAGGATCTTGGCACTCCAGGATTAGGGCCATGGATGGTGGTAAATCGCAGGAAGAAAAATCAGCAGCCCCAACAGAAGCAAGGTTCTGGAAATAGTAGAGCATTTGGTGAGGATATTTCCAACAGGAAAAATTTGGTAGATTCAAAGAATGGTGGTGTCAAGGAAAGGAATATCCCAAGAGGGATTAATACAAAGCAAACTATGATTGTCTCAGCTAGTCCTTTGGTTAACAAGGAGAATTCCTCTCTGAGCAGCAAACAGGATTCTCCAGTGCTTGGAATGATGTTCACAACTGTGGCTCCTAATGCTGGTAGAAGAAGTGCCTGAAATAAAGCAGTGGGAATGAGTTCCAAGAAGTATGTGATTAAGACTTCTTCGGGTAAAGGCAAAGGAGCTGCTCCAGTAGAAGTATGTGATCCTAGGAATTCTGAAGTGCTTTTTTCACCCTTTCAGAAGAAGGATGGCTTGGAGGTAGAAATTAGCAAGACTGGGGAGTCTATTATGGAACAGGATAGCTATACTCATATTGTAAACACCTCCTCTGTTGATGATGTGACTGCTGCTGGCTCGAGAATAGAAGATGTGCAGTCTGATCAAATCATGGGTGAGTCTACAAAGGTGGGAGATGCTAATCCAGGTATGGAAGTAGATCTAGCTCTTAAAAATGATTTAGGCATTGGTATGAATATTAACAATGAACATGTTTGTGTGAATGGACTTCCTGGAAGTCAGAATCAAGGGGTTGTTTGTCATGATGAAAGCAGCAAGAGCTTTGTGATCTTGCAAAAAAATCATAACTCATCATGAATATTCTCACGTGGAATTGTAGAGGTGCTGTAAAGAAACAGTTCAGGAGCACCTTTAGTAGGTTTAGGAGAAAATATAAAGTTGGTGTGGCTGCTATTCTGGAGCCTAGGGTGAGTGGGAAAAAGGCTGATAGTATTATTAGAAGGTTGGGGTTTTCCAATCATATTATTGTTGAGGCTCAAGGCTTTTATGGAGGCATTTGGCTTATGTGGAATGCTAATGATGTTAAAATCTCTTTTATTTCAAAGAATGATCAGATGATTCATTGTTGGGTGGAGTTTGATGGTATGAAGGGATTCTTTTTTACGGCTGTCTATGCTAGCCCGTATGAGGGGAAACGAAGGATTTTGTGGGAAGAGCTGCAGCATCTTGGGAGGACTATGGATGAGCCTTGGCTAATCTCAGGTGACTTTAATGAGATCACTTGTGCTGAGGAGAAGAGAGGAGGGGGCCCTGTTGATTATAGGAGATGTAATCAGTTTTTAAATGTTTTAAATGCTTGTGGTGTATTTGATTTGGGAGGAGGTGGTAATAGGTTTACTTGGAGGGGGCCAAAATTCATGCATTTGAACAGGGTCTTTAAGAGACTTGATAGAGCTGTTGCCAAAACTTGGAGAGCTAGTTTTGAGGGTGCTGATATCCTAACTCTTCCAAGGCTGTTCTCTAATCACTTTCCTATCCTTGTTAGATTGGAAAAGGAGGAAACTGAGTGGAGAGAGAGGCCTTTCCGTTTTCTTGCAACTTGGCAGCAAGATTCTAGATTTGGTAACTTCATGAAAGCTAATTGGAATCAATCTTCCAATATTTCAGATAGCCTGAGAGCCTTCACTCCAACTCTAAAGACTGGAATAAGAATGTTTTTGGATTTGTTCAACACAAGAAAAATAGAATTATTGCTAGATTGGATGGCATTCAAAAACATAGCAGCAGCAATAATAGTAGGCAGCTTGAGCAGCTGGAGGCTAAGCTGAAGGATGAGCTCTCGGTTATTCTTAACCAGGAGGAACAACTTTGGTATAAAAAATCTAGGGGAGAATGGATAAAGGATGGGGATAGAAATACTAGGTTCTATCATACTAGTACCTTGATTCGAAGGAAGAAGAATAAAATTATTAAGCTGCAAGATGAAGCTGGACATTGGGTTTGTGGGGAAGAGGAACTGATTTCTTTAGCAAGGAATTTTTTTGTGAAACTCTTCAAGGAAGATAATGCTGAACCTATCTGGCTGCAAACTGGTAATAATTGGCCAGAAATAAAGGATGATCAGTTGGCTTTGCTATCCTTAAATGTTGACATGGAGGAGGTGAAAACAACTTTCTTCCAAATGGCTCCTTTGAAGGATCCAGGCTCAGATGGATACCCTGCCTTGTTTTTTCAAAGGAATTGGGATTTGCTGAAAGCTCAAATTTTAAGGAGTATGCAGAAGTATCTTGGTCAACCGAATCTGATTAAGGAGATAAATCATACCCTCTTAGCTCTCATTCCCAAAATTGAGAGGCCCTGTTTAATAAAGCAATTTAGACCTATTGCCCTTTGTAACTCTATCTACAAGGGCCTTAGCAAGATTCTTGCTAATAAAATTAAACCTCTTTTGGGAAATCTCATTTCTCCCAATCAGGTTAGTTTTGTTCCTAGAAGGCAGATCCAAGATAACATAATCATTGCTCAGGAGATGGTTCGTGCTATGCATAGAATGAAGGGTAGGAAGAGTTTCTTGTCAATTAAAATTGACTTGGAGAAAGCCTATGATAAGCTTAGTTGGAGGTTCATCAGATCAGTCTTGGAGGAAGTGAAGCTACCAGGGGATTTGATTGAAGCTATCTTGGGATGTGTGACTAGTCCTTCCATGGAGGTGTTGTGGAATGGTGCTAGGACTTCTGGATTTAGTATTCAACGTGGGATTAGGCAAGGGGATCCATTATCCCCTTATCTTTTTGTCCTATGTATGGAGAAATTAACTCATCTAATTATGGATGAGGTGGAAGCTGGAAGATGGAGACCAATGAGGGCTGGTAGGTCTGGACCAGCAATATCTCACTTGATGTTTGCAGATGATGTCATTTTATTTGCTGAAGCTTCTATATCTCAGCTGGAATCAATCACCAACTGCTTGGAAAAATTCTCAGTAATGTCAGGACAAAGTGTTAGTGTAGAGAAGTCCTGCATATACTTCTCTAAGAATGTACCTCATGAGATTATGAGTTCTGTTACTGCTGTTAGTGGTTTTAAAAAAGTCAGCAAGCTTGGTTGCTATCTGGGATCCTTGATGAGACATGGAAGAGTCAAAAGGGATCATTATGCTGATGCTATAGCAAGAGTGCAAGGCAAATTGCAAGGGTGGAAATCAAAGTGCCTTTCCTTGGCAGGTAGGATTACCTTAGCCAAGAGTATTATTTCTGCCATTCCCTCTTTCCATATGCAAAACAGTATGCTGCCAGTGCATGTGTGTCAGGAGATTGAGAGACTACAGAGGAATTTCATCTGGGGGGACTCTGAAGGTAAAAGAAGAGCTCACTATGTTTCTTGGGAGCAGATGTGCCTTTCTAAGGAGTGTGGTGGGTTAGGCATTATAAATTTGAGAAGGCAGAATTCAGCTTTTATGCAGAAATTAGCCTGGAAGGTCATGAATGATCATAGAAGTCTATGGGTTCAGGTTATGCTAGGCAAGTATGGCAGGAAATTAAAGCCTAACCGAAGTGTAATCTCGAAAGCTACTGACTCTCCTCTGTGGAAGAATATCTGCATAGCTAGAGAGAGTCTGATCCAACATCTCGAGTGGGTGGTTGGAAATGGAAGGGAGATATGTTTTTGGACTGATGTGTGGGGAGGTTGGGATGTGAGTGTTTATGACCTTGCTGTGTGTAAGCCTCCTGACTCACAGATTCATTTGAAATTTTTTGATTATGTTGATCCTGATACAGGGGATTGGAAATGGAACTGTCTTCAGCAGTGGTTAGATTTTGATACCATAAATAAACTTAAAGGTATTAGACCTCCTGTCAATGATGACCCAGATGACTATTTAAATTGGAAGTGGTATAGCCCAAGCAAGTCCTTTGTAAGGAATGCATATTGTCACTTATCCGAACCTTCTGTTGGAAAGGATAAAATTTGGACTGCTATTTGGAGATGGAGAGGCCCCTATAGGATAGCAGTTTTCATTTGGCTTGCATGCTTAGAGAAAATTCCTGTGAGGTCTTTGACAGGTCAGTGGAATGGAGGGGAAGTTGGATGTCCCAATTGCTATGAAGGCCAAGAAACAGTTTTGCATGTGTTGAGAGATTGTAGGGTGGCTAGACAAATTTGGGAAAGATGGTTCTCTGGTAATGTTCCAATTAATTTTGTATCTTCTACAGGAATAGACTGGTTTAAGCTAAACCTATTTCAGCAATTTTCCAGTCAGTTTTGGCAATCCTGGAAGGAGATCTTTTTTGTTACTTGTTAGTTTCTTTGGCAGTGGAGAAATTCTAGTGTTCATGAAGAGGCTTTCTTATTTCCCTAAGACCATATCCATACAATCATAGCCTACTTATCTGATATGAAGAGAACCAGTAGCCCTATAGATGTTAATATTAGTGGGACTGGTTCTGAAGCCCCTTGGTCTGGCTCTGATGTTAGTATTTTTTCTGGAAATATAGGACAGCCTAATTCTCAATGTCAGGCTAGAATTTTTGTTGATGGTGCATGTACCTTAGCTTCAAGTAAAGGAGCTAGTGGGGGTTTGATTTGTTCCCCTAGTGGAGAGTGGAAAGGTGGATTCTCACATAATATAGGTAAGTGCTCTGCATTGGAAGCAGAATTATGGGGCCTATACTATGGCATTAAGATGGCTGGGGATTTGAAATACACTAAGATTTGGATAGGTTGTGATAGCAAAGAGGCTATTCTTTGCGTGGAAAATGAGACTACTTCTTGCGGGTTTTCATCTCTGATTCATAAGATCCGCCTAGCTGCTCAAGATTTTGAAGATGTGCAGCTAGAGTTTATCCCTAGAGAGTCCAATAATTGTGCAGATTTTTTAGCTAAGAATGGTTTTAGTCTCAAGGGTGAAGAGCTGATGTTTTATACCTCTCCCCCTGATAGTAGTTTGCCTTTTTGGTTGAGTTTGAGTTCCAACTTGTTGTTGGAGCAGTTGAGTTTGTACCTGAGTAGTCTGTCTGTCTAGTTTTCTGGGCTTGGCCCTCCACTTTTATCAAAAAAAAAAAAAGTCCTCACTGGTGTGTTAGAAAATAATATAAACCATTAAAAAGGTTTTCACCCAGCACTTTAAGATTTTGGGTTGAAATAGTTCTTTACATTATGATTGAAAAATTACGCATTCAAATTTGGAAAATAGCTTTTTGTTTACAAAAATAGCATTAAAAAGGCCTTCCTCCCTATTCTTGCAAGTTGGAGAGCTTGTGCTTATACATGGGTTTGCTCTATTTGTGTTGGTTAAGTATGAACTAATTTCTGTTGCATTTTATTTTTGACTCCTCTATAGGGGTGGCAGCGGAGACTTGATCCAGAATATGACGTATTGAACGCTTTGCAGACGCTGCTATTTGAAGCTAACTGGGAAAACTCTATGTCTTACGCCATTGAAGGAATTGTGGCCCCGTAAAAGGAGACCATTTTGTTTGGGTGAAATTTCAAAAACGGTGGTGCAGAAGGATTAATGGTAAATTACTTAACTATTGTTGATGGTTTTCAATTTTCAATGCCGTTTTTTCTTTCTGCTGTTCTTATTGAGTTTCTAATAACACTTGGGAACTTAACATTGTAAAATTTCTTGAAATAATTTCTGATTCTGATATTAACTCATGATGTACAATGAACCTAATAATTTGCCATTTGAACCCTTAAATTCTGAGAACTGCTAAATAGACCTTTTCATCCGTGTAATAATTTTCGCTGATCATGTGACGACTAGACGACTAATATACTTGTTATTACCTAATTTGTTTTTTTCAATGTCATTGCCCTCAGCAAGTAAAATTGATTGAATGTAACCAACCGTTTGTGTTTTAAAGTGTGAAATAGTAAATGTTTCCTAAATTATTTTCTCATCGATACTGACACGAGACACGATACGATATGACACTCTAACACGTTAATTCTAAAAAATGTTAGATTTTAACATGTTAGGACACATTTTGATATTAAATATTATTTTTAATTTATGTAATGTATATTATATTTAATACTCAATAATTTAACAAAAAAAAATAAAGTTAAACTTATTATATCCATTAATTTTGTAAAGAAACATAAGATATTCTAAATATTTATATTAAACTCAATAAAATGATAATTATAATTCAATGAATCTAATAATTGAAACTAAAAACACAACGCAATTCAAATTTTGAATCTTTTTTTGACTCTCTACAACGTGTCGGAGAGTGTCGAAGTGTGTTGAGAAGTATCGGACACGACATATCAATATTTTTAAAGTGTCGGTGTTTCATAGGTGACACCTAATGAAAATACAAGGAATGAATTTTCTGATATCTCATATTAATATTATTATATTATATAAAAAAATTAATCAATTATTGATAGATAAATGACTACTTTTTCTCAATGACATGATATTAAAATGAAATATTGATCGGGGTCAAAGAGATTCATTCCTAGCGTTCTCTTTTTCCTTATATTATATTCATTATCGTTGTTACAAAAATTGGACCGGATGGGCCGGTTCGAACCGAAAACCAGTCAACAAGTCCGTGTAACATAATGAGTTCTACATGCTAATGAACCGGTGTAACCTGCTATGAATTGGAGTGAATCTACTGGTTTTACCTTATCTTGGCATCAACCGGAACATTATTACCAATTCTGCTCACGTTCGCTACTAACAAGAAGAGCAATAATAGACTGATAGTTATAAGAAGAGAGATAGTAGACTGATACAAGAAAAGTGAAATGAGATATACAATCATACAAGTATCAAAACAACATAAAGAAGCGAAGAAAAGGTGGATTTTAATTTTTAGAAATTTCAATCACAATGCATGCCCAAATTGAAAAGTGGAAGCTAGAAGGGTTTTCTCTTTTTCAAAATAATAATAATAATTAAATAATTAATTAATGGATTGAAATTGCATTGCGCCGTAAACTGAAACATTTTCTTTTTTATTAAAAAAATAATTTATAAATTATATTTGCATTACTTGCTATTTTCCAAATTTCCCTTTTTGTTCTCTATTAATTTATTTATTCATAATAAATATATTCCTTTCATTAATTTTCATATTATATATTAATTTAAAAATTTGTATTCTTTTATCTTTATAGCCCTCTTAATTTAAAACAAATAAAATTATTTTTTCTTAGTTTTACAATTATATATATATGACTTTAATGTTTCTAAAGTGAATGTAGATAAGTTATCTGCATTTGCTCTCAAAATCACGTCATTTTGTATTGAAAAATTAAAAAATTATAATGAATAAGACTATTATAACTCTGAAATAAATTATAATTACAAAAATACCTTGATTTCTGCTTCAAAATGACGTCGTTTTGAGCTCAATGTCTACATTGACTGTAGAAAAAAAGATTCATATATATATATATATATATATATATATATATATATATATATATATATCACAATCTAATATTGAGATAAAAATTAATGGGTTTTTTAATTTAAATATTAAATGAAAGATATTAGTTTTAACTAAAATAACTATTGCTTAAAATGAAAAATATTTCTTCCAAAATTATTGGTTTCATATTGGTCAGTTTTTAAATAAAGAAACAATATTCTTCTTATTTGATATGTATACTATTTTTCTTCTCATTTTGGAACTTTCATTAATTGTGTTTTGTATGTTATTTATATTTTAAACTCACAAAAACATGTTAAATACTTGCCTATTGTGTAATAGCTTTTGTAATTTATAACTCAAATTCTGAATTGTCATATTGAATATGAACCGTGAATTCATGTAAGCGTTCAGTTCAATCAATTGACTCGTTCATTAAACCAATAACTCAGACCCACTATCCTAATTTAATCAATAACGGATCAGATTTTATAACACTATTCATCACACTAAAAAACATATTTTCCCTCTATTAGCTGTATGAATTGGAAAAAATAGTTCAATTCAAGATTTATTTTTTTGAACCAGCTCTGAATACAAATAAAAAATATGAAAAGATTATAAAAAAAATAATGAAAAATATAAATATAAATGATACTATAACTTTGTTTTTAAAAAAGCTAAATAATTAAAAATAAAATAAAGTAAAATAAAATAAAGTAAAATAAAATAAAAATAAAAATAAAGATTAATAAGAGAAAAAATAAAAATAAAACTAAAGAAATAAAATAATTAAAAAAAAGAAGGCGTCAAATAAATAAATAAGAGAAAAAAAAATCAGTTCATAAACTGATTTTTTAAGCAGTTCAATTCAAAACTAATTTTTCAAAAATCAATTCAGATCATAAACTCATTTTAAAAATCAATTCTTATAATTGCAGTGGAATTTAATTCACAGTACAATTCAATTCTTTTGCACACCCCTAATTAACAGCCATCTAAAAAAGAATAAGCTATAAGTAACTTCTCATGGAAACCGGATTTAGAAAACATACAAAAACTGCAAGAACATTCTCACTCAAAATGATCATTTGTTGCTTCCATTGTTATTTGAATTCCAAAACATCAGGAAGGGCAATATCTAAAAGATAAAAAAAAAATAGTCTATGTTCCAGAATTCTTGATTACTGGCGACCGTGAACCAAGAAAAAATGATTCAGCCAATTGGAGCACTGTTTACCATGCTAACCAAGAAAAGGGTATCAAATATGTATCACATCAGGAGAAGTAGGTGGCATGTTGCGCTATATTCTAAAACGTCCTGCGCCACTTACAGTTGAAATATTCACCTTGTCCAATGCCTAACACTGTATCTTAATTCAACCATCAAGCCTCTCGAAGAAATAAAGATAGCCCATATCCTTGGGAGGATTAATAGAAGCCCCAACCTTGTTGTCGTTGAAAATAACCCATCTATCATTTTTAAAAACGTGAGCAACATAGTGACCACACTGCGTCGAGGTTCCACTGTGGCTAACAATTCCAATAAGTCGATATCCTGTAGAATAATGACAAAAGTTATTTTTTTAAAAAAAATCAGATTGTCAAAATAATAAAAAATAATGAGCATAACAAAAGGCCAGACAACAAAGTTTTGTCTTGGCAGATACAACCATTAAAAATAGCATTAAAACCTAAGACTACAAATTTAGGGCACAGATTTAGAGAGCTACTTTGACATTTTCTTTTCATTCAATCTTGCAAATTAAAAATGGGTTTGAATATGATGCATATTATATAAAAGTGCACACCGATCGTGGTTTACAAGTTCTCTTCAGATTTCTTACAAATTTATGAGATAAAAGCCATTTTTTTTCAACTTTATCCTATGTCTTGACTCTCAATTTTTGCGAGAAATGTTTTATGTAAGTAGTATTTTGACCCTTTTTAAACATACGTACGTTGCATATTTTGCCCAAAAAGTTGTCATAAAAGTATTGCCTAATAGATAGATGTTGTAACTTCTTAAAATGTGGTAAATCCATCAGGATACACTGTTCAGAGATGCGCACTATAGAACACCCCGTTGAAGGAGATTATTTATTGTGAACCGGGACCATTTTTTAGGTGGTCCCTTAGTGTAAATAGGAGGGTAAAATTGGAAAAGTGAGAAAATAACAGGGATAAAAAGGGAAAGAAAAAATTAATGTTGTGAGAGAGAGCACCAAAAGATTCAGTAGTCCTGGAGCATATAAAATATTTCCCCGTTGAAGATATACTAAACTTAGAAATTTGAGAGAGAAAAAAGAAAGTATCCATCGACAATTTGAAACTTTTTCCCCTCAACAAAAAAATGCCACATCAAGTACTTAAACCCTTCAATTGTGTTTTAAACATGTGGCATCATATGGTTCTTATAAGTAAATCAAAATTAAATTAAATCCTAGGGAGAAAATGTTACCACTTATCAGTTACATGGAAGGAAAAATATAAGCAACACAAAAATGAAATCAGAATAGCAAGATCAAAATTCAGGTTGCGGTGAAAGGGGAAGTAGAATTAAATGAGTATCATGATTAAATACCATCCTTTTTTTTCTTTCTCATTAAGGATCAATGCAATCAACAGCAAGGTACACCAGAAGAAGTAAAAGAAACTTACTCCCTCCTCCATCAGGTAGGTCAACATCATTGAGAATGGCGTTTGATGTGGAAGCATCCATAGAGGAGATTGATGCATCAGGATTGCTAAATATCCAATCTGTTGCTTTTTCAATGTTACCACCCTGCAGAACAATAATTTCCATTTAGACAGTCAAAAATAATTCCTGCACATTTTATCCAAAACCTAATCCTACAGTCATAAGAGAGGGGAATATATATATAAAAAATAAAACTCCCCAATTAAACCCGACTAGCGAGTGTGGGGAGAGGGGAATATATAAAAGGAGAAAATTACCGATGCCTTAAGTGCCTTTCTAGCAATATCTTCTTGAAATCCAAATGAAATTAGAGTATCAACTTTTGATTGGTCAACAATTGCAAAAGTTTCAGAGCCATGGCCTTTTAAAGTAGGAATGTCAATATCTAAGTAAAACAGATTTATCCAGCATTATGTCCTGCATTAAGTGGTACCTTGCTAACCAGGTTGTTCTACATAACCAGAAAACTCAATTTCAGATACCTGGATCATCCATGTGAGATAGTAACCAAGTCATTGCCTCTTCTACCCCAGCATTTGATGTATTTATAACGGCTTTCTGGCAATGGAGATGGTTAAAGCCCATGGAAACCAGCTGTGAGACAATTTCTTCATTGACCCAAGGTTTGTCTGAATCTTCCTCATCAGGTACTGCAAATCACAGATAATGAAAGCCAATAGATAAAAAATTGTCAGATTTACTCCAGTAAACAGTAATTAGGTTATTTAGCTGAAAGAGGCACTTCTATGACAATAAGAGTTGCAAAACAGATGAGAAGCAAAAATTGCTAGTTAACTAGGGAAATCTAGGGTGTGAATGACAACATTTCCAGAAATTTTTTTTCTCTATTTTTAGTCCGAGGAACAGAAATGATTAGAAATAACGTTTGATAAAGCCAGTTTATTTTTCTACTATAGAGAATGAACTGGTTGCCTGGGAACACAAATCGACAGAAATAAAGAACAAAACTTGTTTTTCATTTTTATTCCCTGGCACACTATTTATAAATACACAAGTAGTGGAATGTGCCAATAGCATTAAATACACACTATTTATTAAAAATATTATTTATTAAATACACACTCTTTGGGAATAAAAAAGTTATGTAGACAAACCTTTTTTTGCCCAAACTTTTCTTAAGCACAAAAATAAGATTTTTTTTTTCCCAAGAAACAATGTCAGCAAACAGAATCATTGTCATGCATAACCCTAATCCGTCCAGATATGGGCTTTTAAGTATCCGAATATTGGGATTCTAGTATCCAGATAAAGCTCGACATTTATCCAGATATCAATTTCCGAATATCCGGATACCACCTCCAAAATGAAAATACTAAATGTTCAGATTTCTTCGCATAATTTTTTTCTACTCTTCTTTTCTTTTATTGTCTTTTTTTTTCCTCTATTTTTTTCTAGTTATTTTTATTTTCTTTTATTTATTTGTTTTCTTTTATTTTCCTCTATTTTTATTTTTCTCTCTTATTTATCTTTATTTTCAATTTGTTTTATTTTATTTTTCTTTTTAATTGTTTATTGCTTTTCTAAGTTCTATGTCATTCATAAATTTTTATTTTATTTTCTTTTATTCTGTCTTTTATTCTCAAACTTTTCATAGTATTTCATAGTATTTATTTGGGTTCACGTGCCACTAAGCTCAACTAGTTTGGGATAAAGGTATTGTTGATGTTAATTTTTTAATATTGGCCTTAATGGTGAGCTTCCTTAAGTTATGCAGCATTTTTTCGTGTTTGTGGAAGAGTTTGAAGGAAGAAAGTTTCTCTCGCATAACATCAGGTCCTATAAAGGAGATAGAAATTTTCCGCTGCCTGTGATTTGTTAAGTCTGTTTGAGAACTTTGTTCAGGCTGTTTGCCTTTTCTTTGACACTGTTATAAGTGGTTAAGCTGTATGGTAAATGGTTGGATGTACAAAAAAAAATAAAAAATGTAACCAGATAGATGTCGCTAGACTCGATATGTTATCAGATTTTACCGCTCAGAAATCAGTGTAATAAGCCAGGTCAACACGGGCATTACACTTTATGATATAGTCAGATTCAGCACATTCATTTAGTATAAAATTGCAGCTTGAGAGATATAGTGTTAGTGACAGACCAACTATATTCTATATTTATTAATATACGAAATGAACAGGTTAAGTTGAAAACTAGTAAAAAAAGAGAGTATTAAAAAACTCATTTATCTGGACTAAAAGCATATGTGGAATCATAAGCAAGGGAAGGGAAAATGATATTATCAATGTAAGCCACCAAATCTATAAACTTGATCTCTTGACATCAAATTCTACTTATGACATAGCAGTGGGACCTTAAACATATAAAAAAGAAAGGTGACACATATGCGAGCATTAGCACACAATTTAGTTTTGACAATTTTTGTGTGCTTGATTTCTACGAAACAAATTATCTGTTTTTTGCCATTTAAATCTCTACAAGATATCACCTGAACAGAAAAATTCTCACATACCCCCATCAGGTAACAGTTCTTCCCCGGCCTGGTGACCTTTGCTGCGCATGTGACTGATATCTATGATATCAGGAACATCAATATACACATCTGAAAGAAGAAAAATGCTTATAAAAATATATAGATCAGAAAATTTTTCAAGGAACATTACTTTGTAGCAAAAATAGGCATATAGAGACAAAGCATACCAAGCTTTTTGGGTACCCATCCTCCTGTCTCCATAACAAATTTCCGCATATGTAACACCAGGTAATCAGGAAATGAGGTCAGACCTGCAGTCCTATAGAATAAATGATGTTTTAGCATCAAGATGATTTTCAAATGATCTGTAACACACATTCTGCCATATTTGTATTTAATAGAGTGATTCCTTCATTTTAATTTTCAAATTCTGAGAACACATTCTATGATATATGTATTTCATAAAGAATGTGCCGGGGAACAAAGAAACAAACAATTGTTGTCTCTTTTTTCTTTTCTTTTTTTCAATTTTTGTTCTTGAGCTTTGGTTCATTCTCTCGAACAGAAAAATAAACCAGTATTATGAAACACAATTTCTCACCACTTTTTGTTCCCAGACTAAATATTTTTTTTTTAAAAATGACTATGTTTGGAAACATTGTCAATTGTCATGCACACCCTATATTAGCTTGGCGAAGTAACTCCTAACCAAATGGGATTGTCTTCCACTTACCAAAGACAATGACATTAATAGACAATGCTTGTCATGGAACTAAAATGATAGCCTATATAACTTCTATCCAATGTGGAGCAACAAGCATGGCAATGTAATTTAATACATTTAGAAACTTCAGAATGCTTACTTCAGTGCTGTCGTCTTTGTTTTCAAAGCAGTGCTGTAAAAATCATGTATCTCCTCAGGAGCCATCAAATTAGCAAGGCAAGCTTCTAAAGGAACCCTTGGACGCACAATCTCATTGCCAGTTCTATTAGAATAAATATGCTCAGCATCGTCAAAAAAAGCATCGGAAGAAAATAATAGGATTTCTAAGCATATGTACTTACATTTCCTTTCCTTCTGCAAGTTTCTCTGCTTTCTGTTTGGGAAAGGATTCTAATTCTTCTGAGATTTCTCAAACAATACAAGTATGAGCTTTAAGATCCCGAACACATCTCAGTTCTCAGTTCAGTCAAGGTTGGTGACTTAAAAACTCACCTTTGTTAGTAGCTTCATATAACGGGATATTGAGAGAAAGAATGCAGTCATGCCTTCTATTATATGTAACTTTTCCAGATGAACACAAAATTCTATCTTCAATACCAAACTTGAAACTCCTCCCAGGATCCAGTTCAGTTTTTCCAGCATTATCTCGTTCAACTTGGTCAAGAAAATGTAGGAAAAATTCTAAAGCATCCTAGCATCAAGTTGGAATCATGCAGTCAAGAGATAGAAAAGTAAGATGACTTTAAATAGAACAATATACTACATGTTAAAGTAAGGATGGAAGAAATTTCTGAAGAATCAAAACACCTTATATTTATATGTTATATACTTTAGGCATACAAGGACTCTCCTCACCCCATCCTCGCATGTTGAGTTTTAATGGGGAGTGCTTTTTATCTACTTTAGGCTTATTAAAAGTCAAAATAAACACAGTAAGGCCTAACCATAAGTAAATCCAACTAAGCTGTTTTAAACAGCTATGACTGTTGTGAGATATATAAAACCATTAATGTAGCCTCACCCGAAAGCTTAAGCTTTTGGGTTGAATTGGTTCTTTACATGGTATCAGAGCCTCGTGTCCCGGGTTCGAACCTCGCCGTCCCCCACTTTATTTCTAGTGGAATTTCTTTCTTCGCACAGGTAGGTAGGCCTGTGCATTGTCCACCCTTCAAGCCCAGTGGGCTCTCGTGTGAGGGGCCGTGTTGTGAGATATATAAAACCATTAATGTAGCCTTACCCGAAAGCTTAAGCTTTTGGGTTGAATTGGTTCTTTACAATGACAAAGAAGATAATATTACTCATGGACTCTTAGCTTTGTTGCTAGACTACAAGTTCACTTTAAAAAAACATAACTTTGCATATATACATATACATAAAACAATCTTCTAATTTTATCAAGCATTAGCATATGCTTCCAATTAACTGTAAAAAACTCACTTCCTTGCAAGAGAAATGTGTTGCCCTCTATTTCAAAATAGCCTATCTCATATTTATATGAGGTAGGCTATTATACTTTAGGCATACAAGGATTCTCCTCACCCCATCCTCGCATGTTGAGTTTTAATGGGGAGTACTTTGTTTATCTACTTTAGGTTTATCAAAAGCCAAAATAAACACAGTAAGGCCTAACCATAAGTAAATCCAACTAAGCTGTTTTAAACAGTTATGACAAAGAAGATAATATTATTCATGGACTCTTAGCTTTGTTGCTCGACTACAAGTTCACTTTAAAAAAATATAACTTTTGGATATATATATATATATACATACATATATATATATATATATATATATATGTATGTATATATACATATACATACATATATATACATATACATAAAACAATCTTGTAATTTTATCAAGCATTAGCATATGCTTCCAATTAACTGTAAAAAACTCACACTTCCTTGCAAGAGAAATGTGTTGCCCTCTATTTCAAAATAGCCTACCTCATAAGCTCATACGGATTTATTTTTTAATGATTACCATACAGAAATCAATAACTGACATGATTCCAAGCTTCAAAGAATATTTTCTCTGCACCTTCCACTGGCTTATGTGGTGTTAACATACGAAGGTTCAAGAAACAGATGTAATTTCATATATGCTCAAGTTTCCTTTCCAAATTAAATTCATAAATAACTGTTGACATACAAAACAGAAGAATATTAAATGCTTCTTATGCCACTAATTCATGTTCAGAAAAAAATAAGTTGCTAAACATACCTGTTGCCGCATAGATGAAAACTCAGGATGGCTGGCAGCAATTACAGCTTTGAACATACGTGGGCGTATCCCTTTTTGTTTCTAATAAGTGGACCGGGACAGACAGAGGAAATGGGTAAAGACAAATAATCAAGATAGGAAACAATAACATTAAAGAGGATATATGAGAACATTCATTAACATGAATCTTTCATTTCCAATTGGGACTTCAACCAAAAGCCATAACAACACGTTCAACCCCATCCTAACTAAAATTCATTCCATGGAAAAAAATAGTCCATCCCAAAAGCTAGTAAAGTATATAACCACACACACACACACACTGTTAAGTACCAAGGATAAGACAATGGAAAACAGAGAGAAAAAACCCACAAAAGCAACACAGCTCCTTAATATTGATTAAAATGGAACTAGTTACAAGCTTGTAAAAACCAAGCGAAATGCAGGAAACCATAACTGTATTAAAAAAGAAAAAGATGACAGAAACAAGATAAAACTCCCGCGCCGTTCGAGAGGCTCAGGTTTCCCTCCCAAAGGTCCCAATAATTCCCCAGAAATCCAAGATACACACACACTTCGCATTCCCCATCTTATACTCAGCCTAACCTCCTAGAATATTCTATTCTCCCTCCAAAAGTTAGTTATGCCACCTCATTGGTAGAACATACACCTTCATGAGTACATTCCTTTAACACACAAAAATTAAGAAAAAGAAAACAAACAAACAAATGAGCATGTTTCTTGCAGAAGAACTTATCAAATTATAAAACTTCAATAGTCATGAAGGTGTATATAGGCTAAGAATTTCAATCACCAAGGAGCCAGAAAGCTTACAGCAGTCGTAGTTGAGGTAGCCACATTTTCTTTTTCATCATTCTGGATAACAGACAAAGGTAACATATATATTAGCTAAGACTCTAAACAAATATTCAAATGAAGTTTATTGAGCTAGGAGGACATACCTCAAATGCTGGAACAGAATATTTACCAGAAAGTAAACCATGTGCCAATTTTGTCCTGTCAACAAACAGAACTATTGTTATACTTCTTTGAATTATAATAAAAAAAAGGATCTGTGCCTTGAAGTACCTCCTCTTGTAAACATTTTCTTTTATGGAGGAAACAGAATGTTCTCCTAGAATATACAAGTAATGTTATACACATGGATTATTTGCACAAATGACCTACCAAATCCATCTTTGACATGGAAAAAGTATAATAAAATAAAACAACCATGTATGATGTGGCACAGATGCTCTTATTATACAAAAACGGCAAGTAACAAATCAGAGATGGTGACAGTAATCTTAATCTAACAAAATCAGTATCCAAACATGCACTTACAACTGCATATTCAGGTCTACAGTTGGATCAGCAGGAGACACCTCAAATGCCTTCTTTAGACTTTGGTTCAAGTAGTACCTAAATATGAAATAATAACAGAAATTGAAGTAAATGCAAACATGTTTTGAACAGTTTAAAAAAAAAAAAAGTGTAGAAACCCTTGTATCTTTTAGGATTATGTCCAGTCCCTAATTCATAGGGATATGATTTTTTCCTTAATTAGGATCAAATTAGAATCAATATGTATTTATTTTTTTCCATAGAAAAGTTTTATAATTGTAATCTCTATTCATTGAGAAATACGAGTCAATACAAACTTTCTATAAAAAGACATGAACTGACCGTGATATGAAGGATCTCGTTGAAAACACAACTTGCATAGTTGCAGCCATGTAACAACTGAATGAAAACAAAATGAAGAAATAAGAAAGTATCAAACTAATACTTTATAATAAGCAGCAAATCATAGGGATCAACGCTACCTGTTTCCAATATTGACCAATCCTGTATATCCAGGTCCAAAAATTGGATCTACATCTTGTCCACTCTCTTGGATTCGATTCCAGTCAAAATTGGTATTTTGGTCAAGTTCTCTTTCAGCAGTCGTCATTTCAGTCTAAATATAAGAAAGTGGGTAACTTAAAAAAAATTGAGTCACTTGATATTTAATTTATGGTAAGTACACTCTTAGACCATGCCCGTTAGAGCAACAAGACAAAAATAATTCTCAAACCTCCAAATGAATCTTCTTCAACCTCGGAAGCTACCTATGCTTAAACATCCATCAAAAGAATATCACATCCAAACAATATGATATCACCAGTCATCGGAAGTCTAACCTCTCATACCGGAGAAATGTTACAATTTGAATTTTGCTGTTTGGATGTGATATAGCAAATATCACAGTAAAGTTAAATGCAGACACCGAAAACCCAAACACTTGATTTCATAGATATCCTACTACCAAATAAATGCTTTCGCCATCTCAAATAGCAAGCCCTGGATCTATGCGACATGCAACCTTTCTAAGCTCAACACCATCAATAGTAGGTGAAGAAAATAATGCAATCCTGCAACAGTGCAAGGTTCCAACATAGGACTTTTTCATTTGAACAATGTCTTCATGGACCTCATGACAGGCAGATACATAAGGAAAATATAGTAACTTTTCAAATGCACCATTAAGCAGTGAACTATTAAGATGTCTTTCTATTTCAAAAGTAAAAACTGAAGGGGTGTATCAAGAAATATCCTCCATTTCTCCCATCTCGTGAAGGAAGGCAATTTGATAAATAATACTGTTTTGAGTTTTAACAGACATAAAGTCAACAAGGGCAGTCTCAGAGAAGCCATGAGTAATTAAATACTGTCTCAAAAAAATGTATCATTTAAAGATAAATGATTAACCTTTTGTAGTGATGAAAAGTCAATGCCAAAAAATGCCAGATGCTGCGCTAATTGTGGATCCAACACACTCTCATCCTCTGGATAGGAGAAAACATCTGAACTCCCACAATACATTACCCATAATTAGTATGCAGTGCAGAAGAGAAAACTATTCATCATCTACCCCGCAGAACATATTTAAGTAAATAATTTAAATAATTAGTTCAGGCTAAAAAAATAAAACTATTTAAAGAAAAACAGTGCTTTATCCCAGTGTCACAGAAGTACTTAATTAATGATCTTTAACACTTAATTGAAAAAATAATAAAAAATTGTAATTTAGCTCTTTCAACATGACGTCATGCAAAAGTGCAAGTTGGAATCTAAATCTCAACGTAAACACTTATATCTTTATAAAAACCCCACCACATAAAAATCACCTAGTGTTTGGGATGGATCAAACATCAATAAACAACATATTGTTCTTTAAAATGGTTAAACTTTTCACACAGAATGCATGGTGAACCCAAGCTTAAAACTACTAAAAAGCAGTTCCAGATCATTTTATCCCCACCCCCATCCCTTCCCCCTGAATAATGTAAGAGAATCTGCCTAGCTTTATATTCCCAAATATTTTTCAATTTCTTCCTCTATTTCGTAAGAGAATAATCAGCATTGAGATCTTGAAAGTGATAATTAAATTTCTATTTAATTAGTATTTAAAACCCAGTGCCACAGAAGCAAAAATATGACCAGACCATGATAAAATTAATAGTTAAATAAAACCTCGTAATTGTAACCCAAAAACAATCAGAAGGGCATAATAGTAACACTTCATGATTACAATTTGGATGCCATAAAAGCAAACCAATGATATTAATTCGCAAAAACACAATATACAGCAATGGGGCATCACCTGCTGCCTCGAGATCAGCAGTGATAGTCCCAAGCTTTACAGCAAGAGGGTAGGCTGTCTGCATGTAATGCTCAAAAGCATGATTGTTTCCACCACTTCCATCCCAATTTTTCCTCCCGCAAAGAATCATTCCATCAGTCAGATTTAGCCAAAGATTGTCCATCTTCTCACACTTAGCACATTTCCATCCAAATGGCGGAATAACAACACCATTGTCAATCTGTAGTAAATTCATTGCATGGACACTAACTTGTTTCTTATCAGCAGTCCAAGCTGCAAGTTGCTCCTTTCGTTCAGCACCCTCAGCTAGTAAGATTGCATCAGCTGCCAACCTTACCTAAATATTTTTAACAAATGAGATAACTAAATTAAACTCCTATGAGGCATACAACTTCTCTTTAATCAATAAAAGGGGGAATAAATAGAGAAAACTAAAAATAGCGCAATAAGTACCTTCTCTGGCAATTCCACAGACGGAAATGGAAGAGAAACATACTTGGGTAATATAACTATACTATGAGTTTCCTCATATTCAACCTCATCATTTTCAAATCCGCCATCAACACCTGTAGTTAATAAGATGCATAAAATTATGGTATCCAAAAAAGAATAGCCAAGATTGTCAAAAACTCAAAAAAAGAGTAATGTAAGAAATGAACAAAGCACATAATTTAAAAGGAATGTTTTATTTTATGAGATTCATGGACATAATGCGGCCACGAATGACCTGACTCACATACCAATTGCTAAGAGTGTTGGTTTCTTTGCAGGCCTATCTTCAGGAACTACCTTTTTTGTCTGCTTAATATTCAAATAGACAGGATTTCCAGTCTTCTCATAATTCCAACCCACAAAATCCTTCCCAAAAGCAAGAAAAGCGTGCAAGTCGATGAACAGCCCACCTTCTGACCTCTGAAATTCATCAAAAGAAACCGTCACCAGTAGAAAAATTGATTTCCAATCAGATTCACTGACTAAGAGAGAATCATATAAATCAGAAACCGTTTTTGCAATAATATCTGAAATTCTTAATGCTTAGAAACCATAAATTCCTAATTGCCAATCTCTAATTAAGAAAAACTAAAAATTAAAAGATTAAATAAAAAAAAACACTATACTAGTATGTTCATCATTATATTCTCATGCATTTCCAAGCTTTCTCAGCAACCAAGCAATAATCAACTCAAAAAAAAAAAAAATTTCAAGAAATACTAGCCAACGTTCGCCAAGAATTGAAAAGATAAAACCTAATGCGTTCAAATAATAGGAAGAAAAATGAAATTAAAAAAGAAGAAGAAGAAGTTGCTTTAAACTAAAATTCATCATTTGAAAAGAAGAAGAAAAAATAATTACCGGTGTGTCGAATGATACGCAGCATTCGTGCTTGTAGATGCGATTGGTTGGTTCCGGGATCCGAACCCGGGAGAGATTGGACCGGAGCAAATCCAAGGGTTCGGTCATCGTCGTCAATTTGCTCTTAACAGAGAAAAACAAGAAACCTTTCCGAGTCACAAGTAAGAAGAACGAGGGATTTAGAAATGAATCAGTGTTTTGCCTTAACCCCAATGCCAAAGTATCAGAAAGAGCTGCGATTAAAAGAAAGAAAGAAAGCAAAGAAAAGAGGCGTTTCGTGAAGCACGTACTTGTTCGTCAAACAAGTCTAGAACAGTCTTTTTTAAGTCTAGCACAATACTGAAAACTCACTTGGGCTTTAATGGAGTATGATAGATTTGAAAACTGGACCGGAACCGGTTCTCAATCTGTCTTTGAACCGTTTTGTAAATGGGTTGAAGTAATTTAGATCAAATTCGTCTGAATTTTTTTTGAGTAAATAAAGTGAAGTTAGATAAAGGGAAATGTATGTATCCATATAAACTTAAATTTTTGTAAGAAAAAGATAGTGTTATGGACCAATTAAATAGTTCTTATTTTTATTCTCACTATATGAAGCATTTTACTCCTTTACTTTCTTTCAACTTCCATCGACTATATATAATATAACCACTCATTGTGTGCACAATTTCTCTAATTACTAATGCACTTCATCTATATATAATTAGGGTTTTATAAGAGTTATGTTGTAGGAAAAGTGATTGTGTTATGTTATAGAGATTCGTTTTGCGTGCCGAAGTTTTTTTTTTTTTTTTGCTGCGGGCCCCACAAAATGTTGTGTGTGTAGGAAACTTTTTGTGGTCATGTTAAATAATAGATGATAAACCCATATAATTATCTATAGTAAAGGATAAGGGGGTTCTTCAGCATAGGTATCTATAGTAAAGGATAAAGGGGGGTTTTCAGCACCTTTAACACATATTAATGTTCACTCCATGATATTTGACGCTGTCTGTGCGGATTGGTAAATTTTGATTCCCACTCTATTACCATTTGAGCATAAAGAAGACAACCTCATCAATGTCCCCGCATTGGACGAGCAACACTGCTGGTCCACCATACCATTGTAGAAGCCAAATGACTTCAAGTAGAAAAAGCAGAGTTGTTGTCACTTTATCTCATTTTTTTTTATCCGATCAGTGGGTTGACGTCCATGCAAGGATTATAAGCTAAGTATCTTCTACTTTTCATCATTTTTATCTCACAACTCCAACTTCATATGTTTTTCATATTTCACCCTTGTTTTTGGTTCTCTCTCTTCAATATGTGATAAAATGCTACTTATTAAATCAAATACTGCACTTAAAATGAGATAGTATTTTATTCTTTAAAAAAGACAAATAATTTTCAAAATAATTTTGTCTAAAAGAACTATAAGTGGTAGTCATTAGGGTGAAAGTGGGTTGAGCTAGGCTGGGCTGAACTTTGTCCTGAAAAGTCCAAGTCTATGTCAAAAAATTCCAATTTGATCTGACCCAAGCCTAGTACGAGTCTAACTGTTAGCCTGACTTGACCCGTTTATAAAAAACAAATGGTCTAGCTTGACCCGTTAGCCTGTTAATTTTTAACTTCCAAACATAACCATGAATCAACTTCACAAAATACTCAAATTATGTTGCTAAAACAAAAATCACAATTTCAACGTCCAAACAGAATCATGAATCATAACAAAACTTATCACAATCTGCAATTAAGTCACTTTCACAAGTAAAATACTCAAACTAAATAACATATATTTTATCAGATCCAACAAACAAATCTATATTATATAAATTAAAATAACTACATAAATTCAACAAACACATCATGATACTCGTAGTAGCCAAAAACTTCTTTTTCGTACAAATACAACTCCTAGATTACATAAGTTGGCAAACAATTTGTAAATGTAGAAAATAAAAAATACGAGTCAAGAATAGAAACAAAAAAGATAAGATTAAGAAACAAAAAATCTTTTAATAGATTCATATAGACAATCTCACATAATGAGATATTGGTTCCTCTTGTATAAAAAAATATAGCCAAATTTCTATTAAAATTTAATCGAATATAATAAATTATAAAATAATTTCAATTGATTAAATTTATACCTTTTGTTCTTTCTTCAAGTCATACCTAATACGTAGCCAATCTCCGTCGTATATTAATGCTTGCATGGTATCTTCAGTCAAGTTAGAACTATAGGCATCAATAATGTTGATTTTTATGGTATTGTAGAGATTTGTACAGATCTTATGCAACTCTCAAAGATAGTATTGGTGAGGGAAGGAACTTAGGTCCTTTCACCACCTACTTAGCTCACATGCACCAATTGAACTATCACCATTTGGTACAACTATAAATAATATTATTTTAATATGATGTCGGTCGGCCTGTATGCTTATAGGCCCAGCATATAAAAAAAAGTCTACCACCTACTTTCTAAATAGACTTTTTTAAAAGCCTGAACCTGTTCCATTTGACTATATGTAATAGGCCAAGCCCAGCCTGATATAGACTAGGCCATAAGCTCTTGTAGGCCAACCCTGCCCACTTTTACCCCTAATAGTCATTATCTCTTTCTCATTTTTTCCGTTGACGTTATGAGCACTGTTCACGTCTAAAGTTTAAAAATATCTGCAAAACAAAAAAAAAATATACGATATTTCCTTTAAATATTATTTTTCTTTAGTTAATGAATAATATAATATATAAATAATATGAATATTTTGAATTCATCATTTACATCCTTAAAAAAAATTATTGACAAATAGCATAATAATATTCGATTCAACCAAATAAAAATAATAAATAAATAAAATAAAAGAAAAGTTTTCTTTGGATTTCATATTTATATAATGTCGGTGACTCTAGTATTTGAAGTAACCTAGTTAGAGTTTTAACTATTTTTAACTACATGTAGCAGAGGTTACTATAGGTTATATATGTTGATAGTTTATTTCAAACATATTGTTGTCTGTTGCTTTTTTAGAATTTATTCACGTGTTAGTCATTTGATGTTAAGAACTGATAATACCTTATCAAATTGACCTTTTCTATTTTATTTTTTATTTTATTTTTTGGTAAAAAATAAAATAAAGTTATCCAGCAGTTTAAAGTAAAAAAAATAAAATAATAAAAAATGAAGTGCAATTATCCCACTAAGTGCAATAAGCACTCCTTGATCTTGATCTTCATTTATTTGTTTTTAATTCACATCACTAAAGGCAGGGGTTAATGTACTTCTTTTTTATCTTACTAACTTTTGTTTTCTAGGGATGGATGCTTTTAGACAAGTCATCAAATATAGATGATGTCAGATGTAACATCAAGAAAGAAATTTTATTAAAGCTACAATGGCCGCCCTTAAGAACCCAGACCAACGCGACGGTGGAGACAGTGCACCCACAGAATGATCAGCTAGGAGATGTGACCACTAGGGCCATGAATGCAATCCTTCAAAGGATGCAAGAAATAGAAAACAGATTCTTGGCTCAACAAAGGTTAGATGCCCAGAGGATGGAGGCATTGGAGGTTGAGATACGAAACCAAAACACTGAAGGCCGAGCTGGAGGAGCAGGTCAGGTCGAAACTGGCGGGCCGCAGCAACAGAACACGGCCGCGGCAACCGAGACTGTGCAGAATCTTCGTCACGGCACCCACCAAGAAGGCAAAAGACCAGTCAATAATCAAGGAGATAATTATCTCCATGATGAGGAGGCTAATGATAGTCCATTCACTGAAAGGCTCATGAACTTGGCAATTCTGTCGAGATTCAAAAGCGCCAGGATACCTCCGTATGACGAGAGTAAAGACCCGGATGCCCACTTAGAGGCTTTCAAGACCGAGATGTTGTTCAACGGGATAACTGGACCTATTAAGGCCAGAGTCTTCGCGACGACATTAACAGGTCAGGCAATGGCGTGGATAACCAGGCTCCCCAGGAACTCGATCGACTAGTTCGAGGACCTGGCTCGAACTTTCCGTCTAAACTTTGCAACGAGTAAGGCACATCCAATGCCGGCCTACGCCTTGGGAAGAATCTGACAAAAAGAGAATGAATCATTGAGGAAATACCTCGATAGATTTAAAGATGCCGCCCTCAAGATTCAGAAACTAACTGAGCCAGTACACCTGCATCTGATCATTTCAGGATTAGATGGTGATTCCTCACTCGCAAAGTCAATCTATAAGAACTCGGTCAACGATTTGGAGGAGTTCCGACGTAGGTCGAACAAGTACATTGACGTTGAAGACATGCAGAAGGCTTATGAGGAGTCCAGAGGATGAAGCCTAAGCAAGAAAAATAAAGACCGGGATCAGCGGGGGTCGAAAAAAGGGAACGACTCCAATGACAAGAGATCGGATTACCGATCTCCAAGGACCAAATATGACACTTACACGCCATTAAACATGTCCCAGATCTCGGATATGGAAAGAAGTGGCTCAGACTGAAATGTGCAACGTTGAAAGACCTCGACCCCTCAAGAGTAAGAGCGGATTGGACAGGAACAAATACTGTGCTTTCCATGATCAAAATGGTCACACCACGGATGATTGCTGGGACCTCCGAGATGCTATTGAGAAACATATCAGAGAGGGGAAATTGAAGCAATACATTATCCGAACTCAGGGAAAGAAGAATAGTAAGCGAAGGCAAAAAAGTCGGAGCAGAAGTCGCAGCCCGAAGAGAGAGGATAGGGAAGATCAGGAACAAGACCGCCTTTCGAAGGGTAAAAAGGTCGAAGATAAAGACGAGAAATTCCAAGAAGCTGAATTTGGATGCAATGTGATAAGCGGAGCTCTGGGTGGAGGAGGTGACACGACAAATGCAAGAAGAAAGTACCTGAAAGAGGTCATGTCGGTAAGAGACAGGCCAACCTTCAAAGGGAAAGCCAGCAATCCTACTCCCACAAGACTGTTCTTTACTCAAGAAGACCTAGAAATGGTCGTACCTGGACACACCGATGGTCTGGTGATCACCGGGGTGCTAGTTAACTGCCAGGTTAAGAGAATCTTCATTGACCACGGAAGCTCGGCGGACATACTTTTTTGGAATGCTTTCCAAAGGATGAACTTAGATGAAAAAGACTTGAAACCATGTGCCACCGAGCTGATTGGGTTCAACGGAGAGCCATCCCCTCCAAAGGGCTACATAGACTTGAAGCTGACCTTAGGAACGAAGGACGCATTTCGAGCTGGAAGGGTTCAGTTCGTTGTAGTAGACGCTTCTTCTTCCTACAACGTGATCATTGGCCGACCTTCAATCCACGATTGGGACGTGTTAATCTCCT